CCCAAAACCCCAAAACCCCAAAACCCCAAAACCCCTGACCAGCTTATAATAATTGAAATTATTATATAATAATAAAATGGAAAGCTCTGTTAGCGATCATCACGAAAGAAAATCCAAGGTTATTGAGTAAGTAGAAGTTTAGTTTTGAGTTCACTGAGGATTGAAGAGTAAATTCTCTGGACTAATAAAACCCAAAGGTAGCATATGACAATCTAAATCTTTGATCCTGAGACACCATCTCGTATGAAAAACTTAGTTATACAAAGCACTATAAGATATCCAATCTAGTTATTTGAACACGCTCAATTTCTTGAAATTATCAAACTCCTTCTACTAACCCAAGAAAATATTGATATTAATGACCAAGTTGTGATGGTTTATTTTCCATATCTAATATAAGACATCTAATGCTTTAGTGATAGAACTGATTGGGAAATATTATTTCTTTAAATCGAGGTTTATTACTAGACCATCAATTAATTCTCTGGAGGAAGGTGTCAGTTCAGTTAACTTTCCCAAAGCAAAGGAAGATTAGTGACCTAATGTTAATCTATAATTAGTCCTCCTGATTCACTCAGGAGGACTTCTTCGGTTTTGGGGTTTTGGACTATTTAAAGTGAAAAGCAGGTTGGCATATTGATTTAAAATCTCCAACTTTTCTTCAGGAAATTTCAAAAATTTCGATTGAATTTGATGATGCCTGTTTAAATCTCAAAGATGAAATTGACACGAGAGAGCCAAATATTAAACTTTTATTCTCTCAAAGACTGGATTAGAAATTTTACCATTAGGCTCCACAGGAAATAACCAGCCTGGATATTTCAAAGAGAGTGTTGGCTTAAAAGCGTAACTCTTGTTTTAAATCCGGTATGTAGTAATTCCTCAATTTCCATAAAATGTTTTGGAATAGTACTCCCTTGAATGAAAGTTTGATTACATTTCAGTCAGATGTAATAGAGTCCGGAAAAACTTTTAGGGCATTTTGCAAGAATTTGTCGAGTTTTAGACGAAATAAACTCTTAAAAACTTTGAATTTTGCTCGAAGTGTATATTATAGATTAATTTGTAAGAATAAGATGTCGCCCAAGTTTTACCTAATACGCTCTATTTACCATTAATAGCAATGAAATTACATAAGACTTCTCTTAAAATCTAGACAAGAGACATCGATCTTAATGAAGAGCAAAGAGGATGACTACAAGAGGTGCAAAGACGTTTTCTATAAATTTGAGGAAGACGAATTGAATATCAAATTATTGAGATCTTATTACCCAGAAGGGTCTGAAAAATCTGAAGTATCTGAAAGATCTGAAGGATCTGAAGAATCTGAAGAATCTGAAGAAACTGAATTCAATTTCTGGCTCGAAGATACGGAGAATTTTGATTATATAAAGGAACTGTGCCCTCTCAAATTCTTTGATATTGATAAGATTTCTTTATACTCCATAAAGCTCAAAGATAAGCAGATTCGTAATTTTATTAAGTATTCTTTCCCAGATAAACTAAATGCTGTTTGGGCCTCTTTTAGGCCTACTGAGATGATTAACAACTCAAAATATTTCAAGTACATAATAAGCCTCAGCTCGAAAGACTTAAAAGAGGTCAGATTATCTAATTTGTGCTTCAGCAGTTCTCAGTTTAAGAAGTTGATTACCTCTTTCAGACATGTGAAAATGTTAGATGTCAATTTATGCAGACTCTCTATCCCAACTCCTCCCGACTTTTCGAGCTCTCTGAAGAACTCTAAAATCGATAATTTTGAATTTTCTGGTTCAACAGATAAATACAATATCGATTGCAAGAACAGTCTCAATGACTTCAAGAATCTAATCGAAGGATTAGGCACATCCCCAGATTTCAGAAAGAGTCTTAAAGAAATATTCATTGGATCTTGGGGAGCTGATTATGAAGAGGCTTATGAATTCTTCCAACAGAGTAAATTGAGCAAAGCTCATCTTAAAATTTGAATTTAAAGCCACTTAGTTACACCAAAAATTCTTCATTTATTGTAGAATTAGAGGAGGACTACACAGAATATACTCTGATCTCTACATACAGCATCTGATACTACCCAAGTTAGATATTTTAAACCCAAATTGGGATAACTACTAGGATATGGTTAACTCTTTCTCGACATATTTGCTATTTATAGTCACAACTTTATTTCTCAGTTTACTTAATATCTATAATTCAATAAGGCTAGCAGAGCAAGGGGTTTTGGGGTTTTGGGGTTTTGGGG